GATGGTGTGAGATGTTCGTTTCAAACTATATTTGCTTCCGCTACTACTTCATTTGAACTTGGTTTGTAATAACTTTAATTGTACTCCGATGTATGGTGAGGTAATTGTGAACTTTATGTAATATGTGGCATGTATGTTGAATCATATACGATCTTGGTTGTATGTTGGCGATGAATCAAGACCCTTCGTGGTACTCGACGGACTACCGGGTTTATATGGGCTCAAGTATGACAGTGCGATCATTTTGGTGGTTGCCATTGTACTTGTGCTCTTATAAATTGGTCGGTTCAGTCACAGCCTCCTCCGCTAGAAGTCGGTATTCATCTCGCGACGGCACCCTGGGATGGTGCCGACCACTGGGAGGAGTTGGAACTAGATGCAGCCATGGAGCAGTCAAGGATCAAAGTGTTGCACACTCTGAGTGAAGAGGTTGGCCCGGGTCTTTTGTCTACACTTTTGCCTCCCACCAAGGCGCCAAAACATCCTGGAAAGACCTCGCACTCCCGCCAAGATGAAATGTTGTGTCACCGGTGGTTTAGGGTGCTATCCACCTATAGAAGAAGGCCTATTTTGGATCCTCTGTGCTTACATAGAGGTGTACACGTGGATCATAATCAAGACCAACTGATTCAATTAATAGTTCAACCGAAGTAATAGTTCAACAATTATGCAGTACGCATACATACTAATCCAGAGGCTTCATGTACATATAAACTTCATTAACATAAAAGTTGCACAAATTCTAAGATTTAATGTCAGATGGGTTGGCAGTTGCTAAGGTACTCAATTGGTTGATGCGGTCCCAAAAGCCAGAGGTAGTGAACCGTAACGAAGATGACAACATCGCCGTCCATGAACACATTGTATCTATAAAGTATGTTTACTTCCTATCCAGTCCTATAAAGCACTAAAATCTCTCCACAAACAGGGTCTTCAACGATTCTGTTCAAATTTTGTGGTCCGAGAAAGTGACGAACAGCGGCTTCAACAATCAATAGTCGATCCGGGTGAATGCTCCATCCCCAAGTAGCAAACAACATCATCTGGGGTCCTGGTGCCACCCCTAGCCACCAAAATGCAAGGTTGCTCGGATTGAAATGGCTTCTTCCGAAGTAAGACATATGTTGCAATGAAGAAATTCCTAATATGAACAAAACTAATACCGAACCCAAAACCAATTGGAACCAAATACAAACGGGGGGATGGGGTGTGACCGAATCCATCTAACCTTCATGGGGCATTGTCCACGACGATAATGCAAGGTGCTAGAGGTAGGGCAAGCATAGGCGGGTGGGAAGAATGAAGATGAAGCAATGGTTGGGGAGAACTATTGGCTTCGTATTGGGGTTTTTTAGTTGGTTCAACCACCGTCAATGCGCCGACAAGGCCGAGGGGAGTTGGGGAACGGCCCGGGCAGTTCTAGGTTTTTTTCCCAAATGGACGGTCCAGATTCATTGACAGCGAGAACTTGTCCGTATTAAGCTGACTATTGCCACGCTAATCCAACACTATAATACGATGATTATCAGCAGTTGAACTGCCATTAGATTCTCCTGGAAGCAACTGGAACCGTAGATGATAGTTTTTTCTTTTCATTCATATATATATAGAAAAAGAAAAAAACATTCGTCACGTAGCATTATCTATATCAAGACCTAATAAAAGTCAATAGATCAAATCCGTGCACTGGCATTTTGGAAATAGTATGTTACGAACCTGGACTATGAATTTCTAGTACAAGAGTTTATGATACAATTTGGGAAAGAATCAGAGAGAGTGTAAACTGGGAATAGCAAGGATCAAACATAGGTAGCAATAACAGCAGTAGGAAACATAATATTTGAAAGAACTTTTTTCATTGATTCATTGTATACACATAGATACAATTTGGACGAGTATATGATTGTACTCGTCCGAAAACATAATAACTAACCTAAACTTTGAAAACTACTTATACTAACTATAAACTACTTAATCCAAATATGATCCTCTCGCAGAGAGGATCATGCTCGCCTCGCTCGCTTGGCAGGAGGCGACTCGAAGTCAGAGTTAGAGCTAGACTCATCGGAGTCATTGGCGGCAGCGGCGGCGGCGCCGTCCTTGTTGACGGTAGATAACAAACATTATAAACCGTCAATACAACATGCATAAGGGCATAAATATAATCACCAACAAAGGTCTAGGCGTTTAAACTAATAAATTTCATGAGTTTTGGTGAATCTGTATTTTCTGCAGGGTTTATCCAGAAAACCATCAAGGTGGACCTAGATGTCAGACTTAATCACGCTTATCCACAGCGAAAACAACCCCAGAAGGTTCTAGAAGACTCGAGAGGACTCCACACCGAAGCGGAGGGCGAGGCGCCGCCAGGTGGGACCGGTCGGCCCCTGGGGTCCACATGTCAGCCCCTCGTTGCTATGTCAGTTCTCCACCACCTCTTAGATTGCATCTACGCCGTTTATTGAAGTCAGTTTGATCCGATGGCTCAGGATTGACATTCTGACCTATATATACCAACCCATGCCACCCCTCCTGAGGCATAAGTCATTAGAGAAGACAGAAACCCTAATCATCCTCAAAGCTCCACCATATTCTAGTGCATAGCTAGTTAGGCTAGGTCTAGAGGGAGGGCAAGCAGGCTTCGCTTGGATTCCCGATCGTACCAAGACCGTGGTTTGGTATAATCTTTGTACCCCCTCTCTTTTGTATCTCTCATTACTTTTATATGTTTGCTACAATTGTTATGACATTCATCTTCATAATTATCATATTCCTAGTTATAATGTTCATCGTCTACTTTGATTATATGCTTAGTATAGTTAGATTATCATCATGTTTATGCATAAGTTCTTATAGCGCTTGCTCCAAAGTACACGGGGTGAGTGGTCGACATTGTGTAAGCGTGGTGCTTATATGTTGTTTACCTGTGGATACACCCTATATTCCAGGCCATGTGGTAGATCGCGGATGTGACACTCCCGTTGAGTCATTTATAGTCCACTCCCCGAATATAGGTCTACAAGTAGGATCTAGTTACGAAGAAAGACAAACTCTATTCTTAATCTTCCTAAGTAATATCCCTAATGTGTAGATATGAAGTTGATCTTAGCGATGACTACTATGTGTAATTGCACTAATCAATGTATGCTTTGACTTGTAATTTAGAATAACTTGGGAATTATTCCTCTAATATTCTACTTAACCATGCTAATGTCATAGAAAGGAGTACTCTGAGTGATCAATGATTCCCGTCATCCTTGAGCTCACCGAGCCCAACTATGCCGAGTGGCGCACCTTTTTCGACACGTTCATCGGCAAGTTCGGCCTCAGCGATCATCTTTTTTCTCCGCCGACCCCGGCACAGCGCCACGATCTCGAGTGGCAGATCGTGGATCAGTGCCTCCTCAGCTAGCTCTATAATTCCGTCGCCAAGGAGGTCCTTGCCCTAGTCCGCGTGCCCAAGCCCACCACATATATCATCTAGCACGGCATCGAGGACCAGTTGCGCGACAACGAGCTCCACCGCGCCGTGTACCTGGAGGCCGAGTTCCGCAACCTCGTTCAGGGCGACATGGACATCGCCCGCTACACCGGCCATCTCAAGCAGCTCGCCGATGCTCTTCACGACATCAGTTAACCCGTCAGCGAGACCAGCCAGGTGCTCAACCTTCTCCGCGGGCTCAGCTCCAAGTACCGCCACATCATCCCGGTGATCACGGCCAAGCAGCCGCCGCACACCTTCCTCTCCACCCACTCCTATCTGCTCGTGGAGGAGCACTACGACAAGGAGCACGCCAATTCAGGCGGCCCAGCACGCTCTGCTTGCCACCGGCGGGTCTGGCGGTTCCCGATCTGCCTCTTTTGCTCCAGGCGAGTGCACCGGTTGTAGCTAGACTCGGTTGCCAAAGCCAACCTCCTGAGATATACACTACATGTACTCAATGAGATCAATATACAAGGGTGTTGGCTCCTATTATTCCTCTCTACAAAATCAAGTAGAATAATACAAGAAAAGAAGCACCCAAGGAAATTGGTCTATTTGTACTCTTCGATATGTTGAGGATGAACCCAAACCAATCTCATTGGTCCGATAATTTCGGTGCGTTGGAGCGTGGTGGGAAATTTTTTTTATTTACTAAAGTACCAATCCTCAACTCCAGGCAGTACCGCCCCTGAATTATGGAACTCTAATAATCAAGTATATCGGTTATCGTGCACCACTAGGCAATAATTGTTTTTTTTATTTATATAATACATCTTTTTCCAGCATCGATCGGTCAGCCAAACACATACGGCATGTTCGTTTGGCTGTGGCTTATCGTAAACGATCGTAAATTTTCAGCTGGAACCGTATTTTTCTCTCACACAAACCAGCCAGCAGTACTTTTTCACGAACCAGCAACGAAACAAATCAGCCAACCGAACAAGATGATAGTTGAGAGCACCATTAGAATATTTACCAAAGGAATAAATGCATCTGATTGGCTAAGCGATACTTAGGCACTGTTTGGATCGCTCCAGTTCTTGTCAGCTGGCTTTTAGAAACTGGGTGGATCCAAATACCCTCAGTTTTTCTGCCAGTTTTTGTCAGATTCTTGAAAACTAGGAAGCTGTTGATACCCAGTTTTTGTGACCTACGGGGCAATAAATGAAGCCAGATTCTTAAAAACTAGGGGGTCCAAACACCCCACCGATTTTTACTTAGAATCTAGATTTTAGAAACTAGAGGCAAAAACTGATTTTTAAGAATCCAAAACCGATCAAACATGCCCTTACAATGGAGGAAGCCTCTGTATAGTATATAGCAGTACAGCCTATATATATGTCTTACCGTCTTAGTGGCATGCTAATCCTGGCAGCCTGAACAAACAAGCTAAGCACTCTTTGAGTGGGGTACAGCCTATATATATGTCTTACCGTCTTAGTGGCATGCTAATCCTGGCAGCCTGAACAAACAAGCTAAGCACTCTTTGAGTAGTGATAGAGTTGGTGATGCCGTGATGGCCAGTGAGAGCAGAATATCACAGGTGGCTACGACCATCCCCGTCAGGAACGTGCAGGATCTCGCGGCTTGCGACGCCGGCGAGCTAACGGCTGAGGCACTGGAGCGGTACATCAGGCCGGACATTGACAAGGATGCAGTCCTTTACGAGCACGCCGGCGAGCTTCCGGTGGTTGACCTTGGAAGACTCCTCAATCCACAGCACTGGGATGAGGAGGCGGCCAAACTCAGATCTGCTTGCGAGGAGTGGGGCTTCTTTCAGGTATGTGCCTCCATTCGTTTGTAAATTGGAGACGTAGCTTCAACTACTCCCTTCGAAAGTATATATCATACACTTCGAAGGATCCACCAAACTCAAATTTGATTAGATTTATAATAAAAATAATATTGACATGTGTATGTCTAAACAGAATATTATAAAATTTTTGACATATTTAATCTAATAATATGTATTTGGTATCATAAATATTTTTAGGTATATATTTGGTTATTAACTTACTCCACTACTACAAGATTTACAACAGGATTTATTTTCGAAGACGGTCATTTTTTATTAATGAAGGCGGTCCCGGTGTTCGCCTCCGTTACTCAGGTTTTTCGGAGGCCGGCGCTATATATATCTCTGTTAATCCAATAACGGAGGTTTTTTGAGGCGGGCGCTATATCTGTCTCCGTTAATCCATTAACGGAGGCGGGTGCCTTAACAAGACGTCTACCTCTATTAATGGTCGTCAGAAAACTCAAAAACCAAAAAAATAGCAACTTCTAGAAATCAAACCCTCAACCTCACGTTTATCACAACATTCCTCTACCACTGAAACACACACTCATTTATGACTATATATAATATGCTATTTTTTTATATCAATATTTGTAATCTGATATTGAATATTTGGGCTACTAAATGAACTCAAGTGAAAAAACTTTTAACTACAATGTTTTAAACCTTATCAACCACTACAACTTTGGCATAGGACGTGTCCCTATCCGAGATTGTTCAAAAATTCAAAAATTTAAATTTCAAAATCTATAAATTTTGAACATATATTTAAGACTCTAAACGATCTCAAATAAAAAACTTATCAACAGCAAACATGCAGCTCGGTTCAGTCACTACAACTTTGGTATTAACTATGTGAACACTCGAGGTCATTTAGAAATTTCAAATTTTGAATTTCAAAATCTATAAACTTAGAACATATATTTGGAACTCCAAACTACTTCAAATAAAAAACTTTTCAACTACAAAGATGTAGATTGTATTGAGAACTATAACTTTCATATAGACCATGTCAACATCTGAGATTGTTTGATAATTTTAAATTTCAAGTTTCAAAATATGTGAAATTACAACAATATTTTTGGACCCTAAATAGTTTCAATTCAAAAACTTTTCATCTACAAAGTTGTAGATCACGTCGAGAGCTACAATTTAGATACAAAGTCCATTTTCATTCAAGTTCATATGAAAAATGATAAATTATTTTTTGATGCAAGTATTTATAGAGATAGATATCTTAAGACGTCCGCCTCCGTAAATCGATTTTAGGAGACAGACACTTAGAACGACCACCTCCGAAAATTATCGATTAACATAGGTGGTCGTCGTAAGATGCCCACCTCCGAAAATTGATTTACAGAGATGGACGTCCCAAGATGATTGCCTCCGTTAATCGATAATTTTCGAAGGCGACGGGCATTTTCCTATATCCCTCCTCACTATTTACAGAGGCGATCGCTAGGCGCGCCCGCCTCCGAAAATAATTTGGCCCTGTCTCCAAAAATCATTTTTCTGGTAGTGCTTCTCAAATTGTAAGATGTACACTTATGTTAGAGCAGAGGGAGTAGCTTATAGCAGAATAAAGACCAAATTGTTTCCTCTTAAATCTAGATACTGTTCATACATCACTAGTATGACAAGCTTGTTTAGAGAAGGTTGAAATGAGTTTGTAGATGTGAATCTAGCTGCCCTTAAAGATCGTTTTCAAGAGACGGACTGAAATCCAACTGCTCCTAGAAAAAATTACAGAATTTGCAAATCGATCAAAATTATATTTTTTTAACCTATGGAGCAGCCCATCAGGCAACCACTACTGTATCTTAGAGACTTCTGACTAAGTGATCATTACAATTCTTGTATATTCACTTTAATAAATATTGTAATGCAGATTTTAGCTATTAAACAAATTTAAATAAAAAAGATTGAACTAAATGTTTTAGATCTCTTTGAGTACTATAAGTTTGTTGTAAGTCGTTTCTACATCTAAGGTTATTTGCAAAGTTAAAAAAAATCAATTTCAAAATTTGTGCATTTAAAACAGAATGTGCGAGCTCTAAATCATTTCAAATGAAAAAATTATCACTTACAAAGTTGTAGATAACTTTGAGTACTACAACTTTAGTTTAGGTAGTTTCTCCATCTAAGGTCATTTGAAAAACTTAAAAACAAATTGAGTTTCAAATTATCAAAATTTGGAACAAAATTTTTTGGACATAAATGTTTTCAAATGAAAAAGTGATCAACTACAAAGTTATAAATATCTTCAAGTACTATAACTTTGATATAAAGTTTGTTTACACCTAATTTTGAATTTTACTGTGTGCTCCACCTATTTTTAAAGACGGGTCAAATTGCCAACCGTTTCTAGAAATTGCCAGTCTGTCTCTAGAAATAGAGGGCATTTCTAGTGACGGACCAAACTTTATGTAAGAATTTATGTTTATCTTGTTGGTTGTCAAAAATCATTAATACAAATTCTATGCTATACCATTCCACCAGCTCATCCCAGGAAAATTTTACTCGTGAATGTTGAACTATTTGCAATAATTCACAGGTTTTGAGTCATGGAGTTCCAGAAGAGGTTATGGTGAACATAAAGCGCGATATTCAGGAGTTCTTTCAGCTACCGCTAGATGTGAAGAATGCTTACGCACAAACCCCAGGAGATCTTCAAGGGTATGGTCAAGCATACGTTGTTTCCAACGATCAGAAGCTTGACTGGGCAGGCATGTTTGCAATCATTACTCAGCCTCCTCCGGCTCGTGACATGAAACATTGGCCTACTCAACCTTACTTTCATGTATATTAAAATGTGGGCTCTTTTGGGAAAAAAAATCACGTAATAAGATTTAGAGTGTCTTAAAATGAGTATATAAACATACTCAAACTGATAAATAGGTATGTACGTATAGGCAATGTGGTTTATTTAAGATGGGAGTAGCTACACCTGGAGTAGGAAAAATGCAATATTTATATATATACACACACCTAATTCCTTTGTGATGTCAGGAAATCCCTTGAAGATTACTGCGATGAATTGAAGAAAGTAGCCCATTCCATCGTAGAAGCCATAGCAAAAATTCTAAATATTGATCCTGAACTGACGAGTGACAAATATGTCGTGCAAGTTCTAAGGATGAATTACTACCCTCCGTGCATGTCGATGCCCGAAAAGGTTTTGGGATTCTCGCCTCATTCAGATGGATCTTTTCTTACCATCCTTTTACAAGTTAATTCAGTCGAAGACCTCCAAATAAAAAGGAGGCATGATGCATGGATCCTGGTGAAACCACACCCCGAAGCATTATTGGTGAATGTTGGAGATCTCCTTGAGGTAAACCAACTTTTAGTTATTAAGTACTAACATGCAATTTGTAATCACAACTGTGTGAGCTCTGTTGGTATTTGGTTCGGTAACCACAAATTATCATCCCAATTTTAATAATTTGTAAAACTCTCCTTCTGCTTAATGAATACCGTGCCAATGGCACGTTCGAGAGAGAAAAAAAAAGTACTAACATGCAATTCAAAACTTTTACTTCTCAACAAATTAAATGGCATCGTCGGATTTATGTGGCATTGGGGTAACCACACTAAATATTAGTATTTAGCTTACAAGCAACCAACTTTGTGGGCATCCGCCAATGAACACTAGTGTGATTTGGTCAAAACCAAAACATAAAACAAACAACCATATTTTGGAATTAGCTTATGAGAAGCAAAACCTGTGCCTGTTCGGTAGCCCTACTCTGCACAACAATTGCTGCAGCTCACTCTCACAAACTACTGTACTATGACTGTATAAATAGCAGCAGCAGCGAAAAATTCTGGATGTATGCTTTTACTAACTTCTAATGACTTCAATCGGACGTTGTTACACATTTAGTTAATTCATTCAAAAGCCAATTAAGAAATATAACTTTCCAACAGCCGTCCTTCTAGTCCACCGTCCTTATGGTGTCTCGAACAAATTGTCAGCCTACTTTTAAATTATAAAGTTTAGCAATGTTTGGTCATCGTCCAAACACACCCAATGTTTACCAGGTACCTTTGGTAATCAGCAAAGTGGCATCATGCTCCAACACAAAGGAGGCAAATGGTCCTGTTCCGTTGGTATAACACTGATGGAAGATAAATTTCTTATCTAAATTATTGTCCTACAAATGTCGACCGAGATTTATAATTGTGTAATAAGTTGATCTAATTACCAATTGTTCTTGTTTGGATGCACTCGTATCCACCTCAATCCATGTGCGTTGAATTAGATTAGGGTGGAAAATAATTTAAGTTCCACCACAATCCACTTCAACAGAGACCTTGTTTGGATGTAATTGGATTCGCGTCAATTCATATGTATTGGGGTGGATTGGAGTTGAACTTGAATTAATTTCCACCCCAACATATGTGGATTGAGGTGAATCCGATAACATCCAAATAAGGCCACATGTGGATTGATGTGAATACGAGTATATCCAAACAAACCCTTTGATGAATATAAAACCAGATATGCTCTTTCCATTATTAAAGAATCTAAATTATGGGCCCGGCTAAATGGGCCTAATGAGATAACTTTTCTCCCAAACATTTGGGGCAGTCAGATTGAATCTAAGATGATGCAGCAGAGTAACTGCATATATAATATATAATTAACAAATACTAAATTCTTTGGCCCCTCATATTTCCTCATTCCAGTTTATCATCACTTGCAGATTATGACGAACGGAAAGTTCAAGAGTATTGAGCATAGGATCATCATTAATCCTCGTAAGGAACGATTATCGGTTTCTGCGTTCCACAATCCAAAGTTTGATGGGGTGGTTTCACCGGTTACGTGCACTCCAACAGAAAAGCTTTTGTACAGGACAGTGAAGGTGGAAGATTACATTACGCATCACATGTCAAACAAACTAGATGGAAAGCGAGCCTTGGATCATGTGAAGGTGTTCTAAGACGAACCTATATATGTTTCAAGACTCATGGAGAAAACAGTCAAACAGACACGTAATGCCACCACATCGTCACTCTCTTTTTTTCCCATTCAATAAACAAGTGATGCTCCAGCGTAGTAAACAGCCAAAGAAGATCAGTTGATATGTGTCTGTACTTTCGTGTTCATGTGCTGTTTGAACTTTGAAGTCATATGGAAACGTTTTATACACAATTAGAGATCGAGCATGTTCGTAGTTAGGAAACCTGAATTTTGACCTATGATGCAACCTGTGAGACTTTGATCATTGGATGGCACAACAGTTTAAGGACTAGCAAATAGTATGCCCGTGAAAAAATAGTGTCAAATGTTAATCAAAATGAGGACATAAATGATATGGGTCCATTTGTTACAGCTCTGGCTTCGAGGTCTACGTTGGATCTATAATTTATAGGCTAATTAAACTGATCCAAAATATTTTATTCAATCTAAAATGTAAATAAAAAAGTCATGTAACTATAATAACATGTGTGCAGCTCTACATCTAGGATTTTCTACAACTCTGCCAAACAAGGCATATATATCTATTTATGTTTACTATATCTAGAAAATTTAAAAGCTATAATTTATTTTATGATGACCATAACATCATCATAATATAAAGTTAGTATTGACAACAATATGATAATATCTTATTAAGTCTATATCGAAATAGAATACGATCTTGATATATTTTCCCATTGTAAAGCACAAGAGTATTACTTGTGTGTGTGTGTGTATAGCTTTAGTTTTCTTACTATTTATGCGTTGATAGAGTTAAATATTGAGTTGGACTTTCTTTGATGATCTATTAAAATATGTAATTTTAATTCTGATTGAATTCGTCAAGATGGCGAGGAGTTGGTTGGTGTCATGTCAAGGATTTGACTGCCTGTTGATGATTACGGTGGAGACCTCTCACGAATAGCAGCTCTTGCTTAGGATTGCACTGGTATATATGTACCACTTGGAGATGTATTTATTTAGGTTAAATTAGATAACAAACTACTCAAGATTTTAGTTTATGGTTTGGTTACAGGAACATCAGTTAATTCAAGTTGTAACAAGAATAAATTTTATTCCTAATTAAAATTATAGTAAGAACTTAGTGTGGAAATATTTGTTTATTATAGAAGGGTTAAGATTTCAAATGAGCTCGTGGTTGATATGGGTGATATTTTTTAGTATCTAAGTCTTCTGATTATTTTAACGGTCCGATATGTGTAAAATATATTTCATGGATTAATTTAATTTCAATTAAGGGAAATAAGGTACTTGTTGCTGGAACACCCATTGAATGTGTATTTTTAAGGTATTTCTGGATTTATTCTAAAAGAAAACAGTCGTATATTGCGTAGGCATGACGTCAAGGTTTGAACGCTGTAATAAGGTAATTGTTGCTGGGACACCCCTCCGATGTGTATTTCTAAAGTATTTCCGGATTTATTTTTCTAAGAGAAAACAGCCATATACTACGTAGGCATGACGTCAAGCTAGGGACGCTCGGAGCAAGGTAGAGCACGCACGACGTACGGTTAGCTGCTCGCTTCGCGCTGCGCAGCAGCGTGTTTGGCGCATGCGCATGGGAGGGGAGGCCTTGGTGATTGCCGGCGTAGACGCATCTCTGGAGCCCGCCGCCGCCGCCCTCGGCAGCAGACTCATCGCGCTGTCGTCCTTCGCAGTTCGCAGCGGACTCGTCGCAGAAACATTCATGGGAGGGACATTTGCCGTAGCTGCTCTCTGTGTATAGTCGCGGACTCAGTGGACCATGAGGGCGAAGCGTCTGCTGCCGCCGCCGCAGCGGCCATCGGTGAGCAAGATGTAGAGACGACGGAGTTATGACGAGTGGAGAAGAAGGCTGCAGGAGAGCACGCGCGGGCGGGAGTCCTAGCGACAGAGCACGTATTGGTTGACGGTTCGAGGCTGACCAAACAATCCAGCAAACACGGACGTGTTGGTTGAACGCTTTCCCGAAAAGAAAGGACCGGGGAAGGAACGCGGAAATGGAAAAAAAAAACGGACACGTGAACTCTGTGAATATGGTTGAACGAAAAAAATTGTGTCAGAAATTTTGTCTCTTTATTATTAGGTATAGATATAGATTAAAACCAGCGGTGGAGGACGGGTATGGCAAAGTCACTAACATAGATAACAAAGCAATATCTTTCAATGGTTCATACAGGAGACATCGACCGTCTTGAAGCACAAAATGTATAAGTAAAAACATTTAGGATAAATAGAATTATAGAAAAATACAAGTGAAGTCAACAAACCATATCAATTTCTGTATCGGTTTCCCCATCAGTTTCAATCTCCTCTTCAACTTGTCGACCTGCCATATCGTTGACGACCAAAATTGACCAAGAGTTAAAAGAGCTTTGTGGCAATGTTCTTAGTATTAAAACAATAATGAAGAATATATTGGAACATCATATTCAGAGCTCAGAGGTAAAAGAAGGAAAAGGGTGGCGTCAACCCTACCAAACCGGCCAGGTCGGTTCCACTGTGTTCCAGCGCGGCCCCTTGGCCAGGCCTCAACAAAACCAGCCTGGCCGGTTTGTGACATGGCCAAGACGATTCTCTTGCTGCGCCTGGCCAGCCAGCTCTTCTAACCGGCCGAGCCGGTATGGGACCCAGCCAGGTCGGTTTTCTCGCTGAGTCCGAACCTATCACTTTCCAAATCGGTTTTTGATATATTCTCACATAGGAAACATGGAGGGTATGATTTGGACTTATTTTCTACCGGGATAAGACTACCCCCTCTATATATATCAGAGGAGCACGGTCGATTGAACGATCCAACACTCAATCGTCTTTTTTCATCTATTACCCTTTTTTACCCTATTTTCCCAGGCTCTTGCTATCCATTGCATCTCTCGCGAGATTCAGCAACGTTTTAGGTGGCCTTAGCTTGCCGACCCTGGACAACCTTAGGCGTGTATCTCCTGGACGGGTCCTCCCAGGAGGTGTTCCTGAGTTCTTGCAGCGAAGGACGAGCTCTAAGTCCGCCTAATCAATCTCTAGATTAGATTCGCTAATCTTAGGGTTGCTTGCTGCATGTGATAGGTCATGTGCGATCTTGGGCATTCTTGCCCTTGCTGGTGTGGTCCGGATTGGTGTCAATATGCTTTTTGGTGACTCCGCTAGGGAAAGAAGATCAATCAGTGTTCAAGATGCCTCAAGATCATGAAAACAGCGGGACTGGTGATTTCACTAGCGTGTCCAATGAGAACAACATCATCCATCCCATTGATAGGCTCCCATAGTATCATGTGTGTAGTAGTCTAATTGAAAGGAAAGTGGAGTCTCCGGAGATAAGCATGGATGACCACTTATATGTGGTATTTTATATCCTCGTGTGGTATGACATATCATACAAATTGGTATCAAGTGCAATTGAAATTTTACATGTGGTATCCCTAAAACGATGTCATTTTGTTGGCTTTCAATTGGTATCTTTTATATGCTTTCTCCATTCATTATATAGATTAAAGTCCATCTATGCTTAAAATTGATGATTACTCATATACTTTGCCTTCCACCACACATATGCATACACTTGGGGCACTTAGTCTTTGTAATACGAGAGTCAAGTTTTATGATCAATTCCTTCCACGTATGAAGAATATTAATTTTTGATCCTCGCTTGTGCTACGAATGTCTTCATTTTCGGTGTTTGATTCCAAAGGGGAGAACTTGAGGGACTAAAAGCAAGCCAAGACCAAACCATAATAAATACCAAAATCAATTTTCAAAAATTCTAAGTGGTTTTTAATGGGGGAGAATTTAATTCCAAGAAAGGGACGAAGTGGGTTATAGAGTTAGGAGAGTCTTAAGTCCACAATGCCACATAAGGGGACGTGTATACAAATTTCAAGGGGTGATAAGTATCCTCTTGATCTTCAAGTAATATCTTTTACTATCATATGATCCTGCTCTTATATTGCATCCTAACAAGTAGTTAGATTTTATTTTGTAATAATATCTATTATTTGTTTGCTTTGATCGTGTTGTAATCAAGCATAAAAAAAGGAGAGATTGTAAGAAAAATGTACCCTATAGGCCATTAAATTTGATTTTGGTGTTTAATGAACAACATAACCATTTGGACTAATGTTGTTTGCTAAGGTGTAGTTAATACAAAGTGTCAAAGTGATGAATAGAAATATGTTGAGGCAAAAGTGGACTGAGCAAAACAGACTCCAGTGGTCAATAGAAGGCACCGGACGAAGCGTGCACAGTATTCATAGGCCAGCTGCAACAGCAGCACCTTCCTGCATGGAGCTTGCACCAGACTGCAATGTGCCAGTGACAGAGGTGGAAGACTCACTGGACGAAGCGGCGGAGTATTCTACAAGAGATGGTTGCAGCAAGGTTGCAGTCGGCCACAAGGCACCAGACCTGTCCGGTGATGCATGGGACATGAACGGTACTCAACGGTCGGCAATGGCTGCTAGTCCAACGGCGTATGACCTGGACCTTCCGGATCATTCATCTATTCATCCTGTATTCCAGATATCAAATAACGAGCGGTTCTTCAGACTCAAATGTAGCAAGTGTTTCAGTCGACCTGTCTGTAAATAGAGTTTCCCCGGGCCGCTGCTAGGGAGAAGCATTTTCAGAGATGCTAGGGGACAAGATGCCGGTCCGACAACGAGGGTGATGCTACCATGGAGAAGCCCACGAGATCGACACAGCCCAGGCATATCTCGCGTTATGCTGCTTGGAGCCAAAAACGCGAGTGTTCGAGGCCCTGATCATGTAGAAAATTAATTGAATAAACCTAAGTTGTCATTAGAGTCAATGAAATAGATTTTCTCCTGTAAATCTTTTCAGAGATGAGATCGAGATGCGATTGCTAGCTATACCGCTTGTGAAAAATCAATTCTGATCATGTCTAAAATTAGAAATGGTCTCCATAGTGAATCAGGTTGATCCTGCACAGCTAGTCTCGACCTGCTGCCACTAATGCCAAATTGATGA